TCATAGAGAAGTGGTATGCGTCTCATTGGGAAAAACGAGTGCAGGGTGCCACTTAGGCTTACTCAATAGAACATTGAGATGGGCAGTGAGAATAGTACTTAGGGGTGGGTAGGGAATAGAGTAGAAACTAGAAATAATAAAAGGTTAATTTGACACGAGGATGGGAATTGTTGCTTTAAAGAACTCTTTAATCAAGCTGACCAAGATGTATTCACTTTGAAATGTTGTCACTGGTTTCTAAGTACGCTGTGCTTCTTTACAGCTTATAGTTGGAAGAGATGGCAATTGTGGTCTGCAGTATGAACATGCACCCGCAGAGGGCCCTCCAATAATGGCGCTGATAAGTCATATTTTAGATTTTATGTAAGACAATTTACGTTCTTCTTTATTTACAAAATGTATGCAGCTATAATTACTGGAAATGTATTTAGTCAATTCATTGAAATATACAGTGAATTGTATCATGGCATGAATATTTTTATGTAAATTTATGTAATATTTATAAAACAATTGTCTAGGAAGACCCTATCTCTTCATTAAACCCATGTGTCTCTACAAGTTTCATTCAGTCATTGGGTGATTTACTGCCATGTACCAGTAAATGCATTGTGATTGATCTAGCTGTTTTCAACTGTCATTTAAAATTTATATTATATTTAAAATACATTCATGAAATTTACTGTAATAAAATAATATAAATAGTGTGCTGAGCTGTTAGACATTCATGTATCTTCAAACTTATTATCTTTTATGCAAACTCACTCTCCTTTCCTGATGCTAAAAAACCTACAATTTGAAAATTTGAAAAAATAATTAAATTTAATTTACGGTTTTCATCTATTCTAATTTACAGAAAGACGATAAATGAACCAATAAAACCATCCACAAACGTTTTGCCATTGCCTAAAGAACTTGTATTGAAACTTGATAATGATTTATTACAAGACATCAACATTGCCAAAGACAACTTAGATGTGTGAGTATTATGTTGTAATCCCTGTCTTAGTTATTATTTCACATCTAGCACTGAAAACAAATATATATGTTGAATTTATCGTTTCTTAAAAAGCCATTTCTGCATTTGTTACAAAATGTATCTGCACTCTTTTAAATGTCTAAATTTCTTCCTATTGACATAATATTTTTTTGCTGCTTTACATTTGACACAGAAGTACTGTAGGACATGAGAAAAATAAAATCTAGCACAAAATATTTTACAATTTTGCTATTATTCATTATTGAATTACTACAATTTCAGAAATATGTATAATAATTTGAATAAAATTTGAACATGTGGTGTAGGATGACTGGCGCTTCAACTCCTTTGAATTCCATAATTTTTCCTGCCAAAATTCACAATTTTTCTAATTTGTTTTCTTCATTTTTGACCAAAATGGACATAATTTCTAATGCCTACATTTTTGTGAAATTTTTGAAAACATTTTGGTTAGCTTACTATGTAGAAATTATGTCCATGTAGTACACAATCAGAATGAAATTGAAAAAAAAAATGTGCAAATTGTTGTACCAAAATGATGGCTTTCAAAAGATTAATCATGTCCTATGATTCCACGGTACAATCCCAGAGATTGTCACCTTGTTCCAGAAATTTAAAATTAACACCAATGTTTTAATTTTACAGATTGGTGAATGACGTAACCGTATGCTGCTTTCAGTTTAAACCATTTGGTAAGAACTTTCCAAAGAAGAACAGAATGAGTCCAGATGCTTTCATTCAGGTGGCACTTCAGCTGGCATACTATAAGTAGGTCATAGGTCATGTTGTGTTAGGTCATAGGTCATTTCATGAGTTGTTGTCTTAAGGACTTTTATAGCCGCGAACCTAATAAATTAATAATTTTTTAATTTATCCCTGTTCAAACAAAGTTTGAAAGGAGACTTATAATTAAGTCTCAGTCTGTTCATCGGTCTGTCCATCGGTCTGTCTGTCCATCTGTCCATCCATCCATCCATCCATCCATCCATCCATCCCATCCATCCGGAGTTGCATTTCAGAACTCTGTAAACCAAATCTGTTCATTCTTTGCAATTGCCTAGTACTTTATCTGGCACATATGCACATGCAGTGGCTTACTGATTAGTCCAAAGTTCGAAAACTGGGACTATTAATTTGGGTTCGGTCCGTCCGTATGCACGTACGTACATGTACGTCCGGAGCTATATCTAGGACACCCATTGACAGATTTCATTCAAACTTTACATGAAGACAACACATATGCTTTACATATGTGCATCAAGTTACTTTATGATTGGAGAAAAATGGCCGACTGGCAGACATTTTGGATGTAAAATTTGATATTTCTGATACCTAAACGTGTTAGCAGCAGTTTCTCAGAGATGACTGGGCAGATTTGGATCAAAGTTGGTATGATGATCATACATATTGGGTTGCAGATGCACATCATATTTTTTCCGTGATTCAAAGAAATATGGCCGACTGGCGGTCATCTTTTTTTTCATGGTACATATGCTACTTTCTCTTGAATGCAATGAACCTTTCTGTTTAAATTTTGTACAAAGATAGTATAGCAAGAGATACAACTACACCATCATTATTTTTGTGATTCGATTCAATATGGCTGAATGACGCCCAAATTTCATGTAAAAGTGCTAAATCATCATTTTTACATGTCCGGAGCTGTTTCTCACAGATGACTAGGCCGATTTGGATCAAAGTTGGTATAGTGATCATACATATTGGGTTATAGGTGCACGTCATATTTTTTCCATCATTCGAATAAATATGGTCGACTGGAGGCCATTTTGTTTTTCATGGTACCCATGCCTACTTTCTCATGAATGCAATAAACATTTCTGTTAAAATTTTGTACAAAGACAGTATACTAATAGATTAATCAACATGAACATTATTTTTGTAATTTTATTCAATATGACTGCCCAATGTCCAATTCTCGTGTGAAAAGCACTAAATCATAATTTTTTACAAATCCATCTCCTAGTAATGGTTTCAATCTAATCTCAATGACTTCATCAGCATCAAATTGATATGTCAGATCACAACATTTTGGACAGGTACTGGGTCATTAACAATGACTTGTTCAATCTAAGATGGCTTTAATACTGGCAGCAATTTTTTTTGTGTGTGTGTGAAAATGTGGTATCTAATGCATACTTTGTCAGTTTGTGTTAAAATTTGGTACAAACATTATTAGACTTATAATTCGGTCTCCGTCTGTGCGTCCGTGCGTCCGTGCGTCCGTCCAGAGTCATATCTCAGAATCCCTTGGACCGATTCCGTTTATTCTTTGCATGTGCCTAGTACTTTATGTGGGACATATGCACATGCAGTGGTTTAGCGATTCGATTCAAAATGGCCGACTGGCAGCCATCTTATTTTTTGAAAATGTTGTATTTTGGACATGCTTTGTCAGTTTTCATTCAAACTTGGTACATAGATTATACATGTTAGGATACATGTCCATGGCGATTTATTTCAGAATTGGATTAAAGATGGCCGACTGGCAGCCATCTTGGTTTTTAATAAATGTCGTATTTTGGACATGCTTTGTCAGTTTTCATTCAAATTTAGTACATAGATCATACATGTTAGGATACATGTCCCCGACCGTCCGTGAGTTCCTGAGTCTGTCCATCCGTGTGTCCGTCCGTCCGTGCGTCAGTATGTCCAGAGTCATATTTCAGAATCCTGTGGACCGATTCCGTTCATTCTTTGCATGTGTATAGTACCTTATGTGGGACATATGCACATGCAGTGGTTTAGCAATTTGATTCAAAATGGCCGACTGGCAGCCATCTTGTTTTTGACTCCCATGTGCGAAGCACAAAATGGGAGTCTTTGCAGTTAGTGTGTCTGTATGTGTGTATGTGTGTATGTGTGTATGTGTGTGTGTATGTGTGTCCGACTGTTCCACTGCTATCTCAAGAACCATACATCGGTTTTTGATGAAACTTGGTGCATAGATGCTCTGGGCCAATGCGCAGATTTGATTAGTTTTGGTAAAAATCCATGCTCGTTAATTACCTAATTTGCATGATAATTAGCTAATTTTTAGCTGTTCTATGACTGTTCCACTGATATCTAAAGAACCACTCATTGGATTTTGATGAAACTTGGTACATAGATGCTCTGAACATATGCGCAGATTTGATTAATTTTTGGTAAAATCCGTGCATATAATTACCTAATTTACATGATATTAGCTATTTT